CCCCCGTATTCCTCCTCCCAGCACTGCTGCTGCCTGCCCCAAGCATAGTCCAGGCAAGGCCCCACTGCTGGGAAGAGCCCAGTGCAGCCCCATCCCCAGCCTGCAGGGTGTTGCAGCAACCTGGGTGAGAATCTCTGCTTTATGTTCTGATTTCAGCACCTCTGGTTGTGGCGTTCAGCTGCTTCCCTGTGAAGACAGCCCCACTGCTCATCACTCGGGTCCCAGATCTTTGTTAAAACTAAACCTTTTGGGTGGGTTTGTTTTAGTTGAACGTAATGTAAGAGTGATATTGTAGCTGTGATGGTCTACAAATGATGTGAAAGGCAAGAATTTCTTATGGTGATATCTTTTATTGGCCAACTATATTCTTTCTTTTTTCCTTTAGGTTGTGGATTTTCCATTGGAAGGGGCAGATTTTGATATCTTCCATGCTGCAGCAATGTAAGAGTGAGATTGTAGCTGTGATGGTCCAGAAATTATGCAAGGGGCAAGGATTTCTTTGGCTGATCTCTTTCATTGGACTTACCACGCCTTTTGGTTTCTTTTAGGTTGTGGATTTTCCACTGTAAGCAGCCTAAGAAATCCTTGTCTCACGTAACTTTTGGACCATCATGGCTACAATGCCACTTTTACACTATATTTAAATAAACCTTTTAAACTAAAGGGAAAAAAAACCAGAGCTGGTCCAATAAAAGAGGTCACCCTAAGAAATCTTTGTCTCTCCTTGTAATGTGATGTGATATCGTGTAATGACGTGTAATGTGATGTAATGCCATGTCATGTGATGCAAAGTAATGTCATAACCATGTGATTCAATGTTGTGCCATGTAATTCCATGCAATGTAATGTAATAACATGCAATGTCACATGATGTAGCATCATGTCATGCAATGTAATGCGATGCAATGTCATGGAACGTGATGTGATGTGATGTAAGTTATGTCATGTGATACCATACAATGTCATGTCATGTCATGTCATGCAATGGGTTGCAGTCATGCAATATAATGTGATGTCAGGTCATGTCAGTAATGCCATGTCATGTCATGCAATGCAATGTAATATCGTGCAATGTCATGTGATATAGCAGCCTGTCATGCAATGTCATGTCAGTACGGTCATGCAGTGCCATGCAATGTCACGCAATCATGCAGCGTCATGTCAGTAAGGTCATGCAGTGTCATGTCATGTCATGTCATGCGATGCAATGTCATGGCACGTAACGGGATGCAACGTCATGTCAGTCATGATGACATGTAGTGCCAGGTGCCCCGAGGGCCCGGCGTGGCGGCGGAGCGCGAGGCGCAGCGCGCGGGGCGGCCCGGCCCCAGTTTCCGGTCGGACCCGGTGCCGCGCTGTTTCCCGTCCCCCATCCCGGCTGCG